ACGTTTCGTGGTAACGGATGAAACAAAGGAACTCTTAGACATGGTAGTCCAGGAGATTTCAATGGGAGATTCGTGAGAGATTCGTCAGACAGACGTCGTTCAGGAGATCAATGTGTGAGCTTTTATAATTGACTGTAACTGTAAAGAAGTGCCAATAAACCCAATCACGAAATCCAGAAATTATACTTATTAGTCACGCAAACCCCGATATGTGACAATATTTTAATGAAACCTGTTTCGATTAAACAATAGTTAATGTCTGAATTAGGAGCATGCGGTAGCATAGTTGGTTGAGGCAATATGTTACAAGCCGGAAGGTCGCGGGTTCGAGTCTCGATTAGGTGTTTTTTTAATTTATCTACTCCTTCCAGCAGCACTATGGCCCTGGGGTCGACTCATCCCCTAACATAAATGAGTACCAGGAATCTTCTTGAGGAGTAAAGGGCGGCCGGCGCGTAAGGTTGACAACCTTACCTCCATCTGTGAGACGATTGTCTAGAAAATGTGGGACCCTCAACGTCTCACAATCGTAGGGTCTTCCACGGCCTGTTACAGGGTTACCTTTACTTTTTATGTCCGAATTAGTCGCCATCTTACACGGTAACCCAAGCATCGTTAGCTACACAATGCACGGGTATGTGGACAGCACTAACTGTGTGGGAATTTACAATTCCACGGTGATGAATGTTAAGACAGTCATCTAGAGGCAGTATGTCTGTGTACCAAATTACACGGCGTCATATTCTAGGAGACCGCAGTTTCAACACGTGATCCATGTTATGAAACGTTCCGTACGGAAAACGACCTTCATTATGCAATTACCTCCTGTTCCTCGAAGTAAAACACTGAACGACCTCGTGTTGAGCCATTTGTCACAGTCACTGGACAAGGAATTTGTCACTAATTTTCACTTTCGACACGAAAGCCGGTACTTAAATACACTTTTATTCGTGCTGACAACTGACTCACAGGTTTGGGTTCTAGGATAACAAGAGTAAATCTGAATTGCTAGAGAGAGGTTCACAGTGAATACAAAGAGGATGTGCGGCATAGCTCAGGCGGTATAGTGACTACAGTAATGCTGGGCTCTCGAGGAATCCTGGTTCGAGTCGCGGCAGGGGCAAGACATTTCTCTCCTCTGACAGCATTCAGCTCGAACATTGCAGTGCGCACTCGGGGCAATTTTCCTGGAGGTAAAGCCGCCGGGGAGTCAATCTGACAACCCACTTCCAACTACCAGCGTTATTAATGCCTGGAGCTATACTTCTATCCCCACATCTGTCTTCGTGTTGTGGCGTTTAATTAACACAACGAAGATGTTTTATAATGCTAGTAGGGTGGGATTAAGTCCCTTGTACTGCGGCCACTTCTGGCCTATTGTACCAGCCCCAGATGATAGGTGAGGGTAATTGTGGAGCAATTGGTGGAATGAAGATTAGCAGGGGAAACCGAAGCACTCGGAGGAAACGTGCCCCAGCGCCACTTTGTCCACCACAAATTCCACTTGACCAGAACCGGGATCGAACCCGGACCAGCCGCTGGGAATCCAGCGACTAACCGCTTGAGCTATGGCGCGACCGTAGCGAAGATGTTACTATATTAAACGGAAATTATCTGAAATTTATTCGGCCAAAAAGCTAATTTCTAAATAATAGCTTTGGTCGCAACTTGGTAGCCTATGGCGAAATTGAAAATCTGCTATTTTTAGTATTGGAATAAAAACCACACTGTTATGTAATAGAACCATCACGCATCAATCATCGTAATGTATGCGTGTGTACGTACACATGTATATATATATAGCGAGAGAGAGAGATACATACATAAATAGCCACGCATTTGAATGATGCGTTAAGATGTCTTGCTGTAAGGGTCAACCACTTTGAAATACGTGTTTATTCACTGCATCTATAACATACACTGTAATGTGTTTGTGAACATAGTAAAGTTGTCACTGTTTTAACTAATTAAGCACTAAGACATCAAGGCGTATGGCGGAGTGGATGTATAGATCCACGTCTTCTTGGCCTCGGCCCTAGTTAGAGGTGTCTGATCAGGCTGAGGTGAATATTAGGACTAAGAGAGAGGAGTCTAGATAAAATTATATGAACAACTCATAATTTGCATTCCCGTCTGTTATCACTAGGGTAACCGTAACAAGGAGGAAGAGATAGCTAGGAGACGTAGCATGAGAAACAAGAGAAAGGCATATAACTTGCAGTCTGAAAACTTCGAGGGAGGAAACCACTTGGGAGACTTAGGTATTTCTGGGTATAACTAACTAACTAACTTTATGAAGCTGATCCTTTCTTGAGAAGCCGCCAGTTGTGCAGCTACGCAAGAACTTCCCAGCATTTTATGGCACCAGAAAGTTCATCATCGTGTTCAAAAGAGCTCTCCACTGGTCTCTACCCAGAGCCAGATAAGTCCAGTCCACACCACCCCATCCTATTTCTCTACGATCCATTATCAACACACCTACGTCTTGCTGGTTCATTGCCACCTCTGTCCCATCTGATCTCCTGTACTCCCACTAAATCTAATTTATATATTGGGGGCTTGGTGTGAGGCTATCAATTCCTTGCCGTAAAAAATAAGCTTGTTATGAAATATCACAGAGGGCCTCGGACCATAAAATATATTTTAAATAAATACTGAAGGATTGTGTGGAGTGCTTGTGAACACGGTAATGAACCTTCGGATTCCATGAGATACGATTTTTTACCTTGTGAACTTCTTCAAGCCGTTACCGAGTACCTTCAAAGTTGTGCCGTTATTTTATCAAAAAGGAGTTATAACCTTAGTGACTCTAAAAAATGTTCTACGTTCACATCTGAACCGGCCTTCTACTCGAGATATGGAGCTTATCACTCGAATGATTTATCTATGCTTGTGGCACTGAGCAGATAAGGTCCATTATGGAAAATCGACATTTTCTTAGTCACAGAAACTATGTGATACGAAAATAATTCAGAAAGGATTAGAATAAATTATGGTTAAGTCGTATGGAAAAATCGCTATTACAGGTGTGAAGGTTCGTATTAAATATAAATGGTGGAAGAGGGATGACAGCTTACTTATTCACACCGTAAAAATGTAACATATTATACCATATAATGTCCATTATCATGTTCTGATATTTTAATCATATATTATATATAAAACACATTTACTGGAAGACCTCTAGGCGTAGATGTTTGGATAATATTAAAATTGGGTTTAAAAATGTGTGAGGGAGGGACTAAATTCGTCTGGCGCAGGATATAGACAATTGGCGAGCTCGTGTGAACAAGGTAATGAACCTTGGGGTTGAGTTCATAAAAGACAGGTTATGTCTTGGCCCGCCGAGAGAGCTTCCTAGCCCTTTGAAGCCCGGATTTTCTACGTGTGCCACCTTCTTTTAACACGCGAAAATTCTGAAGTATCTTCGTATGGATCTTATAGTAAACAGCGACTCATCCCCTAGCTGGCTTTAACTGGTTGACGTGAAGTGTTTCCTGTTAGGTACGAACTGATAATTTCTATATAGTTGACAAGATATTCAGTCTTTGAGACAGACACGTAACTCTTAAAATTGCAGGGACTGCAAAATAAGTTTCTCGCAACATTGGACATTTTCCAAGGCGCACACCGGCCCGCGATTTGCACACAGATTTCAACCTTCCGTATGTATACGATTGTATAATAAAGTGTGCAGGCTAGAAGCAGAAGTCATATAAAATCATGAGAATTAATATGTTCGCTGAACAGGACAAGGCGAAGCCAGACATTAGACAATATGAAAAGCTGAAACTTGGCGGAGGTCAAGCTTACGACCGTTCAAGTGACTAAACTGCCGTTGTAGCATAAGATAAGTAAGATAGATATGATCTGCTCTGCAAAGCTTTGCCTGACAGAGGTAGTGCATAGTGTATATACGTACACTTCACAAAGGCGAAGCCTTTCGTCAGAGAAGATGTTACCTAAGGACGATGAACGCAAGGGTTCAGTTGCAAAAAAAAAAAAAATCGGTCGTGATCCTCAAGGCGCTGGCGCCAAGATGAACAGATTCGCGGTAAACTGCCTGTCGTAAAGTGACTCTAACTCTGACTCAGTCTTTGTAGGTTTGCTTTTTTACACTTCCCGCCCCTAAAATGTGCCCGTACTAGAAGGACGAACAGGCTCAGCCTGGGAACCCTCAAAACCAGAAATATTTCTTTCCTCCCCATAGTATATTGTCTGTCACAGCCACCTTCCCCCCCCCCCCTTTCTCTCTCCCGCTTCCTCCCAGTCTGTAAAAGGCCAAAAATTATTTTGCTCCATGGAATTTTTAGTGTGTGTATGTGTGTGTGCGTGTGTGTACATACATCAATACCAATATATACAAATTATATAATTTGCTATGTAGTGGGGTTAGAAAGATGGAGGGTATATTACGAACGAGTTGAACATGGTGGACGGCTCATATTAAACGTATACTGTAATTTATCTTCTCTCACATCAGCGGTAAATAGGAAGAACATTAATTAATGGTAGATAGAACTATAAATCCAGGCATATAAAATATAATAGCACACAATTAGCCATCATGTGCATAAAAATTAACGAATTTATGTGTCTACATATTTAGTAATCAGATTTTTTTTTACACTCGTGTGGTGTTATGAAATATTTCTCTGCACTGATCTTCGATAGTATACGGTAGGCCTATTCTAAACAAAGAGATAATAATAATGAATATAATGAATATTTGCACTCGTTTTTGGAGGGAACACAAGTTAAAAATTAGTGATCAATTTGGCAAGCAGGAACAGATTTGAACACAGATATCACACTGCTTAAAAAACGTAATTCAATTCCCGATTCAGTTTAAATTAAAAAAAATCAGCTTAAATCTTAAGAAATCTGTACGTAGCATTTCTTCCTTCTGCATCCAGTTTTGTGAATTTCATACTTTCTACCAGAATGTAACAATTTTGTCGTGTAAGGTAACATACTTGCAGTAGGATTTATGTACTCACATGTAGATAAGCGTAGCTTCATGGTGTGAGGTTCCATCTCAGCTGGCTGCACGAATGGATCAGCTGTAAGGACCTGATCCACCATTACACGTACACGAGTCTGTCAACCTTGACAAAAGCATATTCCACCAACTGATTAACGTGATGTTTCATGCAACCTCCGTCGGTTAGGTTGGTAGCTTCTGCTGCTGAAGGTTGCGGGCGCTATTGATTTTCATGCAGCAAGCATTACAGGGTATGACTGTCTGTCTGCTTATTGAACCAGTTGCTGCAACGCCCTGAACTTCAGATATTATTTTCCTTGCTATAACCGAGCAGTTTTAGATGACCATGATCAGGCTAGAGCCATGCAGAGCTGATAATGTTTGAAATATTGGCCATTTAGCCACGCGTTTCTGTACAGTTGGAATATGGGTTAGTAGTGGATCAAGGCAGTGATCTACACACGCGTTACACTCAGCCGCATGTCACAGCTCGAACAGACAAAGAGCAGTGTTATAAGCAAGGCGAGGAGAGATAACCGTTTGGTGACGTCATGCGCGCTATATGAGTCTTGATTCAAAGGGCTCCTTTACGTAAAAGAGTTCTGAAAAATATATCCGTGCAGAAAGTCGAGTTGTAGTGCCTAGTACCGGAAATTCGTTTCCGGAATGTGGCTCTCATGCTTTTCCTTAGTCCCACCGGGAGTGTACTCCGAAGGAATTTTAACCCTTTCACAGGCGAATCAGTTTGTCTCAAATAATGATTTAGCATACACATATTTAATTACTACTAAATTTAACATTGGCAGAATGATTCCAGGTAACAATATTGGAGGGGAAAATCCCGATAATTTAGAATAAGGACGGCATGGATCATATTAGAAAGAGAATCACGTGAGGCTAATGAAAATCATCACCGCCTTCTTAGATGGCCTTTAAAACCCATTAATCTTAACGGCAAATCCCACAGAAATTCAACGGGGAATACTTTTATATATTCATCCTTCAGCCTCTTTCTTCCCTTCCCTTACCCCTTTCGTACCTTTATCTCGTTGTTTCCTTGCCGCCTTAAAACAGCGAATTAAGATACATTGCTATCCATCAGAGGACAGATTAAAAAATTCAGGTGCCACCTGAGTAAGTATGCGAAAACTAGTAATGCATTAGGATGAGGTAATTTACATACATATCGGATAACATGTTGTCACGTGTATTAGTGACTAAAGACGCAGGTTTGGATCGGTGAGTGAATTTATTGGATATTCACTAGTCATAACTACAAATAACTATAACACTTTCAAGATTAATGTAATTACAACATATAAATAAAGTCTTATATATCTGCTTACAAAAGTCGTTACTATGTAACAGATCTCGACAATGGCTATTCCTCTGCAAAGCTCTCTCTATCCGTTTCCTGGCAACGAATTTTAACACAAGAACTATAACAGTCTCACTCCAGATATCAGTGCACTACAGCATACAAAAGATCTTCAAATGACACGTTAAGTCTTCACAGGCCGACTTCTAATTCTTCTTCAACTACGAACTTCCTATGGCTATCTCCTACCGAGGACTGACTGACTCTTAGCGCCGATTGTATTCAAGATAACTCCTCTGCACAGACTCCACGGAAAACACAGTTCTTTTTGTTAAGAATACACGTTTGCATCTTCGCTGCCCAGCAATAGACGTCCTACTGTTCCGTGTGTTTGCTTGGCGCCGACCGCATAGAAAACACAGTTCCCGTATATTGTCACATTACTAAAGGGGGGGGGGATGTTCACCGGCCGTGGCGTAGAAACGACAATTCTTCTATTGCTGCATGTATTTGTTGCTGTAAGAATGTTTACGGGCATTCCTCTGTTGTTATAGAAACGGCCCTTATGTCACATCATGTACATAGGCATAAATTATCTGCTATTATGTCCTGACATTAGATGTAGGTAGTTCATAAAGCTTAAGTTAATTAATCAAAGAAAGCACCTGAGTGTGCATATAACATATGGTTTTTAAAATTATATGCATCCATGTTTACAGAGCCGATCATGATAGCCGAGCGGTCTAAGGCATGTACTGCCTTCCCTCGCTCGGAAGCCGGGATCCTGGGTTCCAATCCCAGACAAGGTATGGAAGTTTGGTATGTGTATGTGTTTATTCTGTGTTTGTGTTGTCTTGTGTTTAGGTAGAGACCTTGCGACGAGCTGATCCTTCATCCAAGGAGTCCTACAGTCTGTGAAATTTATCATGAAACTGAAAATCAGAGGCTGTAGAGACAGTTGAGAAAAAAGAAAAGAGATTTATAGAACCACAAACGGGTCAGTTGTATGGTGTTGGTCACAACCAGTTGCGCGTGATGATGATAAGAGAACAGTTACGAACTCTGCAGTGTAGCAGTTCATATAGTTCATCAGCCATTGAAGTCCATGTGTAAGCCTCTGTGATTGAATTATAACTTTTATCTTTGTAGAGCTGATCTATATTAATACTGACCGTTACTTCTATGTGTTGCATTGTTTTATGTATAATTGTCTCTATTCTTTGTACCACTTCCTTTCTCGTCATATATTTCTTCGTAAAGTAATTAAAGTAGGCCAAGTTCAGTCTCGATATGCATTACCCACGGTCTCATCTGTCACTGTACCAAAAAGGCTTACATTATAAGGGATTAAGGTTTTTAATAGACTGCCTGCTCCTATAAAACTATTGTCAAANCCTCTACTTGGCAGTGGTATCTAATGCTTTGGTCCCTTTCTGTCAGAGAGGTCCCCCCCTCCTCTGGCAGTGGTATNTATCACATCGTCCAAATTGAACTTATCAATCATCCTCAAACTATTTATTTAATTATATTAAACTTTTTGAAAAATATGGAGTTTTATTTGAGCTTCACGTACACACAATTACATTCCCGCGATAACCCATACCATTAAGTATAATCGAAATTCACTAAATATTTATGGAACTGAAACTGCGATAATACAGACAGATAGGGCCTTTCGATATTATCTTCATGTTCTTCATTCTGTTCTAATAAAATATAAACGTAATAAATATTTTGAGGAGAATACTGGGTTACTGTTCATACAGTTAGTTTCTCGCATAGGTTAACACTGTCTTATATACAGGTTTCTCGCGCCTTTTTCATGAAGTACCCCTTTCTAAAAAATATTTTTGAAACATAACTTTGTTATTATTGAAACACGTTTGGTTAAACAATTTGGTCGCAAGTAATTGTTCGGAAGAAATTACCTATACGCAATAAACTTGCCACCGTGCATATGACTGTGCAAAATAGATTAAAGAAATTATATGAACGTTAAATAAATCAGCTTTTATTCTTAACTATACACACACGCGTATGGCATATACAACCATCAGTGAACATGGATCTATATAATTTTAAGAAGAAAAATTGGTAATTTAGTGTGAAATTTAAGTTAGTTTGGATGAAATCAGATTTTTAAACTTACTCACTGCTCAGGTTCATAATTTTTTGGATACATATAATTTCTTAATTTGACTTTGAATTCGGCCAGTGCCAAGTAACTTGTCTCACATAAGTAGGTTGATGGTAATGAAAGGAGTTCTACGAGACCCATGTTACTCAGTTATTTGTAGTAAACTTTCAATTTCTGCCAGAACTCGGGAACGTCGTGAAGTCCTTTATTTTGCTTTTTCAGTACGCCGTTGTCAGGGAGCTAAGAAAAGGTGGTTCTGTTTGTTTTCACTATAGTGTAGAGAGATAAAAGTAGGTCACAACCACTTCCATTCGACCCCTGTGGTTTGGTGCATGTAATTACGCGGGTATATGTAGCTTCTGTTGTCTATACAAAGCGAAATTACCAAGGAACCGACACAAACTCTAAGGACTACTGCGGCAGTCAGGCACCCGAGTAGCCTTCCTTTCATGTTACGGCTGCTTCATCGGACACAGTTGTAATATAAAGAACACCAGAGAGCAAATAAGACAGGACAACGACGTGGGCGGTGAGACAATGAACACTACGACCAGAGGGTTACGAAACCAAAATAAAAGAAAAGGAATGAAGGAACAGATAGAAAGAGAAGTTGGAGGGAAAGTAATTAGCAACAGATTTTTACAAAGATAATTCTGAAGAATGTAATAAGTGGGAAAATTACAAAGATAGGACGAGAGGGTTCGTAGCCTCAGAGGCTAAAGTACAGGAACTTAGGCACAAGGGATGATAAGTAACACAAAACATTTTACTTTAATGCCAACGGCGCAACTGCCCGCGTTTTCATGAACGAGGCTCTGATGACCGAACCACAAAGGTGTAACTACAAACACTGAGCAGAATATGTAATTAATAAGTTTTAGGTTGTGAATTTAAGTACAGTCCCCTTTAAGCTTGGATTTGAATTGTTTTGTGTTGACAGGCGCAAATACTCACTGCAGCCAAATCGGATTATACCTCATTAAACAGTCAATGAACTAACCGGGAAGACGTGGCTATAACTGTCTCTACAGAATTACTGGGGGTTTGGACTTTTTTCATCGTCCGGAATTTTAGGTAATGGAGGACACGACGTTTCGGAAACTGGATCTGTTTTCTTCTTCAGGTGAAAAGAAGACACTTACTTAGTTGGAAACAGATCCAGTTTCAGAAACGTCGTGTCCTCCATTACCTAAAATTTCAGACGATGGAAAAAGTAAAAAAACCCCAGTAATTGTGTGTGTCATCCACCATCGTCAGAACCCTTTAGAATCTAATTATAACTGTCTATATTTGTATTTTGTGGGTGCCTGTTTTGAGTGAAGGACATTTAACGGCTTTCCTTCTTAAGGAATTAAGTTTTTTCATCATTTTAGAAAGTTCCGTTAAATTGGCCAGGCTCGTCTTTCCTGCTTTCTTACCTATTCATCAATCTTTACCATCTAATCTTATACAGACCCATAAGTTAGCAGTGTAACTGACGAATGAGTCGATAGAGCCATTACAGATACTGCGTGGTTTAACTCTGATGGAATGCATCTGACGGTGCTCGAAGGTATCAGAGACATTGTGGCTGACTAGGAACCATTGCCTTCCTTGCTACCTACAAGAAGTGTCAGATTAGTGCTGTGGACACTTCTTGAGCCCCTGGGCACGACATTTGAAAGAAAAACAGGCATTCATAAATTCTGAAGTGTTCTAACGATGGTGTATAACACTCAGAATTACTGGGTTTTTGGACTTTTCTATCGTCCGATTTTATTCCCTTGAATACCTGAGGATAGAAAAGTCCAGACTCCCAGTAATTTTGTGATGCATTCCTAAGTCCATATTACGCAACTCAAGTAAATAAGGTTATGTTGTTAAACAACCTGGAGAGATATAGAAGTCCACCACGTTGAATATATTAATTTTTGTGTATTAACGACACAATTAATAGTTTAAAAGGACACACATGACTTATACTGGAAAATAATAAATACGAAGAGTAATATTGGGGGATATTTAACAAAAAATAGCCATTTAGAAT